GCGGGGGCATCGTGGCGGGCACAGGCCCGGTGCAGTGGTGGGGGTTGCCCAGCGTCTACATCGAGGCCTGGGTGTCGCTGGAGGAGGGCCTGGGCCCGGACCAGCCGTCCTGCAGACAAGTAACGACGGAAGCGACGTTCTCGGCGTTGGCGGCGGGTAGTGGAGGCCATGGAAGTCTTGGGCTGAGGAAGAAGGAAAAAAAGGCAGCTGTCAGGGCCCCAGCCTGGCCAGGTCCCTCCCCCGCCGCCCCTGACATCCCCTCTTGTTCCTCCCTTCGGCCCCCCTTCTTCCTACATCTTCAGCAAGAGATGAGGTCTCTCCTAACTCTCATCCCTCAGCCAGATGCTAGGTTTGAAAAAAATTTTGAAGGGGGCTTGGGTCACAGATTTTTTAACATAAAATTTGAGAAAAGGGTAATTGCTTTGAGGTTCATTAGCCCAGATAATTTTTAATAGGAGACTTTGAAAAAGACAAATAAAGAATGATGGGGAAAATATTTATCAACAGAAATCTGAATTTAAAAGTCACAGATAATTTCAAATAATAATCTAGAAATGGAATATGATGTACCCGGCAGACAGATGTGGAGGCTTCTCCCTCTGGGACCTGGGGGGAGGGGTTACTCATCAGACCTGCCCCCCCACCCCCCTAAGTACCCCCAGAGATGTAGGCCCGAGGCCTGTGTTTAAAACGCTGCGAGGAAGGGAGGCGGGAAGGGCGGGGACACTCTAGGCTGGCGGAAATGGCGCAAGCCGAGACGCAGGTAAAGGGCGGAAATGAACTCGTTACCGGATGTCGTCTCTCCCTCCGAGGGGGCGAGGTGTGTGTGTTTCCTCAGTCTGGTCTCGGGTGGGGAACTTGGGAACTTAGGATAAAGGGTCCGCCTGAAACCGGAAGACTGGACGACAAACGAGGAAAAGGAGACCAGCATGGGAGAGTAAAAAGGCCGATTTAAAGATTTATTCTCTCCTCCCCCAACTGGGAAGAGAGAGGAGATGGTTCAGAGATAGAAGATGATAAGAGAGAGAAAACAGGGGAGACAAGAAGGATTAAAAGTCATAGTGAAAATGGAAAACCACGACGAGGCCAAGTATAGGGCAAAATAAAAAAAGACGTGTAAAGACATAAAGAAACAACCGTAGGAGAAGGCAAACGAAATGGATGCAGAAATTTAGACTTGGGAAAGATAAAGGGAGATGGAAACGGGAGAGAGTGAAAAAAAGAGGGGAAGAGAAGTATGAAGAATTCAGGGAAACCCACCATCCTCTTCTCCCAATACGTGACACATGTTGACTTCCTTACCTTCTCAGTCCATTTTCAGTCCCTCTGCGTCTCCTTCTCACTCCTCTCTGGTCCTGCCCCCACTCCTGGACTTTCTGACCGGGAAAACCCTGCACCTGCTGCGATGGTGCCAGACAGCTTTGGGCCTGGTCTCTGCTGCTCCCAGGTGGTCCTTCTGGGTACTGCCAGTGTAGACCTGGGAGAAGAGGCCAGCCATCAATGGAGGATCAGTTTGGGGGAGACACCGGTGCGGAAGGCTGAGCAGAAAAGGGGAGCACTAAGACCCAGGGGTAGTGGAGGACTGCAGCAAGGAGCTGGTGGAAGAGAAGTAGGCGGTGTAAGTGTGTGTGTGTTGGGGGTGGGGTGGGGGAGCCATCTGGTACCTTAGTAGCATCCAAAACATCATCAGCCATAACGACAGAAATGGCCAGTCAGTCCCAGGGTATCCAGCAGCTCCTGCAAGCCGAGAAGCGGGCGGCTGAGAAGGTGGCAGATGCCAGAAAGAGTGAGTCTCCTCCACTCTCCCTTAGGAGTCTGGAAAGAAAATTGGGGAGGGGGGGGACAATAAACCTTCCGGTCCCTGGGAAAACCCAAGGTTGGTGGGGAGGAAGCTGGGGCTGGGATGGCTGATTAGGAGGAAAGAAATGGGTGGGTGTTAGAATCTAGCACCTGGTTGGCTGAGAGAAGGCAGAAAAACTTTCTGGAAAGGAATGACCACTACTATCTTGTTTTGTGAGGGGGTCTACCCCCACCCTCTGTCCTTTCTTCTGCTTCCAGGGAAGGCCCGGCGTCTGAAGCAGGCGAAGGAGGAGGCACAGATGGAGGTGGAGCAGTACCGTAGAGAGCGGGAGCAGGAATTTCAGAGCAAGCAGCAGGCGGTGAGTTGTGGGACAGTTGAGAAGGGACCCCAGGGTGCAAGTTGGTGGGTGTATCTGATAAGGTGTGGACAGGGTGACTGTACAAGAAAATAAGGTGGTAAAGGGCTGAAGGGGACCCTTAGCAGGGGCCATGTTATTGATAAAGAAGTGTGATAACGAAGAGAATCTGAGACATTTGAAAGACTTGTACAGCTTTTGGGGGGAATTGCCACCATCTGTGTGGAGTATAATGTCATTTGGGGTGGAAGGCAGAGTTTTATGGTCACATATAGTGAGGTGGTGGGGGTTTTACAGTCTGTTTTAGGATGAAGTTGCATGTCAAGTCTCAAAGGAAGGAGAATTGTGTTGCTTTCTTTGGTGTCTGGCTATTTCCATGGGATGGGGGTGGTTTTGACAAGGGCTTTTCTTCCTGGCCTTGCTCCAGGATCTTCCTCTCCACCTGCCTGGACCCTTCTTTCTCTGTTTCTGCTTTTGCCTTTCTCTCTTCTTTGCCTTTCCCAATCCCCCTAGGCCATGGGCTCCCAGGGGAACCTGTCGGCTGAGGTGGAACAGGCTACAAGACGCCAGGTGCAGGGCATGCAGAGCTCTCAGCAGAGAAACCGAGAACACGTCTTGGCCCAACTTCTTGGCATGGTTTGCGACGTCAGGCCCCAGGTCCACCCCAACTACCGGATTGCTGTCTAGGATCCACTGTAGGGCCTGACTGTTCCCTTCCATTTCCCTTTCTCAAAGAAATCCCCCAATCAAAATTACCTCCCACCATCTTCGCTGCTTCTTTCCCACTTTCTCTCCATTCCCTGGAAATTCTAGGGGCAAGATCCAATAATTCTGTGAAATTTAGAAGTTATCCTGTTCAGATATGAATCTCCTTATTGTTCTTTAACCTTCACTGGGACCTTGTAAACTCCCAAGTCACCCTCACCCAACTCCTCTTAAAATTTGTAGTGTGCAGAAGTCAGGATGTGGAAAACACTTTGGTTTCAGAGCCTGGGACACTGAGGTCCCTTTCCCAACCCTGCCACTTGCTGGGACAGGACAAGCTACTTAACCTGTAGTCCAGTGTCCTCCTCTACAGGACTGAAATAATGATGACAACGACAATGACGGCAATGACGTTACCTACCTTATAGGGTTGCTGCAATGATTAGGGATCACTCTGTTAAATCCTCGCATGGTTTTTGGCATATAGTAGCTGTGATTCAATAAATGGCTGCTTTATGGCATTATTACTACTCCCTGCCCACCTGCCAAAACCTAAACACAGCTGTTTCCTCATATTTGTCAATGGCTTTCTAATTCTACTTATTCATTCTGTGAACCTAATAATTCTCTGAAGAATTAGTTCTTCCTGCCTCTTTTCCCCCAGAGCTTTATGATCCCTGAAAAGTAATGAAGACCTCATTTAGCCTCTCTACTGTGATTCCAGGAAGATGTTGAATTTGTCTTTTTGTCTCTAAGTTATGTTTTGTCTTTATTGGATTTCCCCTTTTCCGATTTCCCCAAAGACCCATCAGATGCTCACTGCTTCCTGAGACCTAAAGTGATGCTATGTTCCCTTGTATGCATGGCTTTCCTTTCTGCATCCTCAATATCCTTCCCTTTGTAACAATGAAAAATTGTCAATAAAAGAACTATGGGCAAATCAACTGGTGTGTGGAAGCAGCTTCCTTTTGCTTCAGCATTTCTCATTTTCAGTCACTCTCTTGTTCCTTATTTACATATTCCCCAAATGCCCAAAAGGGCTGTTCTTTGAAACTTGTTGGAAAAACAAAAGGTACTAGTGTGTTATTATTTCTCTAAAGTGAGGAACATACATGGTTACTTGTCGGGAACCTGGGAACTATAGATGGCAGGTATAGAGAAAAGCTGGTGTAGGAACAAGCACTCTTTGTCCCTTATCTTGCTTTCTTTTTCTTTCTTTCCTTTTTGAAAGAAAGATTATTTATTTATTTGAGAGAGAGCAGAGCGAGAGAGAACGTTCATGGCAGGCAGGGTCAGAGGGAGAGAGAAGCTTGAGCAGGGAGCCTGATGCAGGACTGGAGCCCACAACCCTGGGATCATGAACTGAGCCAAAAGCAGACGCTTACCAGACTGCGCTACCTAGCTGCCCCAAAACTTGGAATACTTAGGGTCGGAAAAACTGCCCAGAAGGGCACTATCCTTGAATCACTGTTAGTTCTCTTGGCCACAGAAAGCACTGCCTGCTTCACCAAACGAAAGATTTGAACCAATGAGGTAATCCACAGTGTAATTATTAACCAGACTCAAGCAGGGAGGCAGGATACAATAGAAATAAAATGTATTTGTATCCTGGCTCTGTCACCTCACTAGCTTTGTTACTTTGGACGTGTTGCTTTGTTTGATTATAAAATGGGAATAAGGACACCTATTCCTTAGTGTTAAACAATTAACTGTGATAACAGGTAAAGAGCCAAACGTTTGCTGTCATTTTTGACATCACATCTGACTTCTGAGGCATTATCAAAGACTGGGATATTAAAGGTTTCATTCAGGAAAAAATTCAACCTGAACAATGGGGCTGCTGGAAGCGGGGCTAAGGACATTCTGGTCGAGTTAACAATATTTGTGGGATGTTGTGTAACCCTCAAGCCCTGCCATTTATCTTTAACAGTTGAGGCGGAATCTAGACCCCCCCCCCCCACCCCGCCGTGCCCCACTCAGTGGTTTCAGGACACCTTCCCGCCTCGAATTTCCTGCCCATCCGCTTCAGGGTCCTTGGGGCATCAACTACGTGGACCAACATTATTTTGGGCAAATGCCGCTCACCGTCTCCACCCTGAGAAAAAGGGTAGGTTGAGGACCCATGAGCGCTCTTCAGGTTCGTTCCTACCCATCAGCTGGGGTCAGACGAGCTATAGCGCAGACGCATCCGGGTCACCTTGACTACCGGGCCAAGGACCCCGTGGGAACTCTCAGTCCGCGCCATCCTGTTCCACCGAGCGGGGCGCCCACGGAGAGGTGCCTAGAGAGAAGACCTGCCCGGCAAGAACCTAAGGGAAGAGGTGAGGGACGTGGAGTAGACGAGGATAAGAGAAAAAAGGTAACAGCGGGAGATGCTAGTTTCCTTAATGTCTTTTGTTACTTGCAGTAGCGGAGGAATTAGAAGTGGCTTAAAAAATCCACACAGGCATTTTCTAAAGGCAACCCCACCGCGCGCGGAACGATTGACTCTGGAAAGATCGTCTTCCGGTCTCTTGCGCCTGCGCGCTTGCAGGCGAGAAGGCGGGAGGCCCAGGGATGAGGGAAGCCGAGAACCGGAAGTGAAGGCAGATTCCCTCTTTCGTCGCTGTTGCCGGCGCCATATGCGCTCGTCTTGCTCAGGTAAGTTTTGGCCTTCAGTATCATCCGCCTCCATCTGCGTTTTTTTGCGGTCATTCTGTCCGATGGACTCCTGATACCCGTTCCACAGGCTATGGTCTGGTCCCTGGGGCCTAGCTGGGTCATTATTTCTACTGCCTGCATTCCTTTTCAGAGCTCTAAGAGTGTCGGGGGTGGGGGGAAGAGGTAGGGATGCTAGGGGGCACAATCCAAGATGGTGGCCCCAGCGCCATTGTGTTTCTTTTGCTCCCTGCACCTTTGCTGCGCTCCTTGTTTATCGGAGGCCCTGGCGATGGTGAGAGGCGGCGCTAGGTGTTCTCTGGTCCCGGGCATTTGCGGAGGGCGGGGCTCTTTTCACCTTCTCTTCTCTCTGGGTCTACTTGGCCAGGTGGGATTAGGCCCAAGGTGGGATTAGGAGGAGAAGCCGGTTTCTGGGCCTAGTTGGACTTTTCTCATCTGGATTTACGAACTTTTGTTTGGAACACGTTCCGCATGTTTATGCACGGTGTCATTGTGTGATTATCGGGAGTCTCACGTGAGGAGTAACGCAAGGGGGATGTGAGACTCCTTGCTCCGGTTTCTGTTAAAGCTGGAGCGAGCGTCTCTCTCAAATAGTTCTTCCTTCTTATTGTATGGAGAAGAGATGAATACTTTTCTGGCTGAGCCATTTCTCTTACACCCCCCCATCCTCGTCAATCACACAGGGATTTCTTTTGCGCCAGGAGGAGGTCACTGAGGAGTGGGAGGTAGATGGCAGCCACATGATGTTTTTATTTTGAGAAGTGAGCGCTTTCTGCAATGATGACCTTAATCTATCACCCTTGACTGATGGCTGCTTTGTTAGGGAGATTATAGGGAAAGCGCAGTTTCTTTGAGGATCTTTAAGGACTTCTCGTTATCTTGTTCTCTCCATTCTCTATTCCCGTCTCATATTTTGCTTTTCATTTTCTGTTTTCTTCATTACTGTTAAAGATCAGGAATTCATATGCTGGTTCTCGCCTTCCTACTTCCTGGTTTATGCTATTCTGATCCTTATCTTTTTGGGAATTTGTGTCTTAACTACATCACTTGGGGCCACTGTGTTATGTTTGTTCTTGCTTTTATGTTTTGTGGTCCTCTTAGTTTTTTTTCCCAGGTAAAGGTGTCATAGTTTAGGGAAAGTGGGAAGAGTGTGGGGATGGGAAAGAGGTGGTGAAGTCTTTGTTTGTGACTAATAAGTCTTCCATCTGTTTTTTCCCTAGCTCTTCTATCACAAACTAGGGTTGTTTTTTTTTTTTTAACTGTTGCTCAAGCCCCCACTTTCCTTCCTTGTTTTCACTTACTCTGCGTGAACCCATCCAGAGACCCCTCCCCTTCTCCCCCTGCCGGCCCAGTTATGGCAGAGAACGATGTGGACAATGAGCTCTTGGACTATGAAGAAGATGAGGTGGAGACAGCAGCTGGGGGAGATGGGGCTGAGGCCCCTGCCAAGAAGGATGTGAAGGGCTCCTATGTCTCCATCCACAGCTCTGGCTTTCGTGACTTCCTGCTGAAGCCAGAGTTGCTCCGGGCCATTGTCGACTGTGGCTTTGAGCATCCATCAGAAGGTAAATTTTCTTTCCAGTATAGAGTAGTCATTAGGCTTCCTAAGGATACAAGAAATAGGTGTGTAAAACAGTCCCTCAGGTGATACATACTTTAGGCTAGATCAGGAAATAAAGTGTCAACAATTATTTTAGCTGTAGGAAAGATTTATATAGATTGTCTTTTTATGTATGATACTTGAAAAGCAACTTAAGGGGTCTGCCATTTGTTCTTGCGACTGGTTTATTCTTGTTTACTTGTTTTTTTTTTTTTAAATTTTGTCATCTAGGTTTCTAATTTAGAATGTCCAGAGAGGAGCTGGTTGGACCTTTAGTCCCTCTCTGTTGGGCCAGGCCATCTCTGGTCTCTGGAAACCTTGATGGCTTGATCTAAAGCGGGTGGCTTCTGGGTCAGCTACCAAGCCCTTCAGAGTTGCTGGGTTACGTGGCCTAAGGTGTGGCAAGCTGAGTAGGAGAAATGGCCTGGGGCAGGCACGCATGTCCTAGATTTTTACAGGTTAAGGAGGATAGGGACAGAGTCAGGAGCACTAAAAGTGAGCTGTTGGTAGGTGCAAGACGGTTTTTAGCAGGATGGAGGAGGGGGCACTGGAGTTGGAGGCTAAAGCAAGAACAAACTAGGAAGGCCTACTTTTGGGATGAATTTGATTGAGGGAGAAGGGAGGTAGAAAGGGTCTGGAAATTGATAACCATTTAAGAAATTGAATGGTGAGAAATAGGCTTGGCGTGGTGAAAAAAAGTGGTGGAGTTATCTGGAGACTGAAGTCTAATTTATTTTTTTTCTCCCCTACTTGTAGTCCAGCATGAGTGCATCCCTCAGGCCATTCTGGGAATGGATGTCCTGTGCCAGGCCAAGTCAGGCATGGGGAAGACAGCGGTGTTTGTGCTGGCCACACTGCAGCAGCTGGAGCCAGTTACTGGACAGGTATACTTGGGGAGAGTGCTGTGGAGGACATTTTGGTTAGAAATATTTGAGAAGGGTGTTTTGTCTTAGCCCTGTGATGCGTTCAGAGTTTGTTGCTAAGATGATTTCTGTCACCTTTGATGGCCATAGGGGATATTACATAGTAATGATGGGGTTAGTGGCTTAGATCTCAGAACTGAAGTCATTTATGATCTGTCAGATGTGCTTTTGTGATGGTTTGCTTCCCCAGAGGGCATAGTAAAGGGATATATTGTTTGTCTCCATCTACTCACCCTGCCCCAGGTGTCTGTGCTGGTGATGTGTCACACTCGGGAGTTGGCTTTTCAGATCAGCAAGGAGTATGAGCGCTTCTCTAAATACATGCCCAATGTCAAGGTAAGCCAGGGTAAAGAGACCTGGGAGGGTGAGGTGTGGGGCTTTGAAGGCATTGAAGACTTGTAGACTAGCATTCTTCATGTCCACAGTTTGTTAAATTACCTTTATGTGAAAGTCATGTACAGGTAATAATAGCTGGTAGGTTTCTGTAGACTTTGGTGTGCAAGAGATTTACGTTCTAGGGTTCACTTTTGAATATGCATTGTAATTTTAAGATGTTAGCTATGTTCTAATCTTGGAGAAGCTCTAGTTTGCTTTGGTGTTTAGCAAGAGAAGGCTGGAAGTGCCAAAATATCTCTAGTGTTGTGTGTGAATTTTGAGGATTCTTTAAAATGGCAGAAAATTGAAAGATGTTTGGGGGCCACAACAGAATAGAGTTGGGTTTTCCATATATAATCTTGGTTTTCATAGTGTGGTTCCCAAGCCCATAGTTCGGATGAAAATGCAGATTATGTGGGTACCACCCCAGACCTACTGGGTATGAATATGCATTCTAACAAGATCTCCGAGTAATTGGAGTTTGAGAAGCACTGATGTGTATAACTTCCTACTGTCCGCTAGGATGTGGTGAACAATGATTTTGTTTGGATTATTGGGATTTTCTCCTGTTAATCATTACTTCATGTGTTGAGTTCCTAGCCCTAACCTAAAAATAGTCATTTTTTTTTTTTTAAGAGATTTAGTTTATTTATTTGAGAGAGCGAGCGCGCATGAGCCAATGGTGGGCTGAGGGAGAGGCAGACTCCCCTCTGAGCAGGGAGCCCCACATAGGGCTCAATCCCAGGACCCCAGGATCATGACCTGAGTGGAGGTCAGATGCTTAACTGACGGAGCTAAACTAGTCTTAAACTAAATAAAAAGTAGTAGTAAAAGCCAAAGTAGCAATAATATCTGTGTGGGCTAAACATGCTGGAGTAATGTAGAAGGACTCGTAATGAAAAGACTTGTGTTCTCCTATCTCTAATCTCACTTCACAGAAGGTAATGGTTAGTTAATGTTCTTTTTTCCTTTTTCCCTAATGGTTCTGTGACACCAAGTATTAGTCGCTCTTCTCTCATTTTATCAAATTCCAGGTGTTTTTGATTTTTTTCATGAAAGAGTAGTTGGTTTACGTTATTCTTTTGTTACACGAAAATTAATTTTAATTCCTTAAAAATAATTTAAATGCCGTACGTGTATGTGTTACGCTTAATTCGGTTTTTACATTGTCTCATTGTTCTTCCACCAGGTGGTCTTGTTACTGCTTGATTCTAAAAAGTTGAAAACCAGAGAAGTTTCCATTGTCACGATTGTTGAAACATTTATTGTTGGGCTCATTAGTGAGCAAGGATTGCACTTCCTTCTCTATAGGCCTAGCTTACTAGCTTATGCGGCTTAAAAGAAATTTTTTTTTTTTTTTAAAGATTTTATTTACTTATTTGACAGGCAGATCACAAGTAGGCAGAGGCAGGCAGAGAGAGGGGGAGGAAGCAGGCTCCCTGCTTAGCAGAGCTCCTGACTGGGGACTTGATCCCAGGACCCTGGGATCATGCCCTGAGCTTTAACCCCCTGAGCCACCCAGGCGCCCCTAAAAGAATTTTTTTGTTTATTTGTTTATTTTTTTTTTTTTAGTAATCTGTACACCCAGGGTGGGGCTCAAACTCAAAACCCAGAGATCAAGAGTTGGATGCTCTTCAACTTAGCCACCCGAGTGCCCCAAAAGAGAATATTCTTTGTGTTAAGACTGAAGACAAATTGTCATGACATTTTCTTACTTTTGTTTAAAATTGTGCTAAAGTGGGCGCCTGGGTGGATCAGTGGGTTAAAGCCTCTGCCTTTGGCTCAGGTCATGATCCCAGGGTCCTGGGATCAAGCCCCGCTTCAGGTGCTCTGCTCAGCAGGGAGCCTGCTTCCCCGCCCCCTCTCTTTGCCTGCCTCTCT